TGCCTGGGCTGGGAAGAAGTAAGGGAAGAGAGAGGGAGGAAGGGTGGCGTTTTCAGAGCTGTGACGATAAAAGATATCTGAGAGCTAGAAATGGGTGCATTTAGTAATCTGGTGAGCAGGGAAAGCTAGAGACACGGATTATAATTTCAGGTATTCTGGAAAGGTCTGCTACCACGTCCCTATTCTTGGCTAGGTCCTTAAATTCCAAGTCTAGTTCTTCATTTCTTTATCTTAAGATTTTTATTCTGTTAAAGTGTAAATTTCTTTTAATTTTCTATTGATTATACTCAGGATGAATTTGTTTTGTCAGATCTTTTTATCACAATAACTAGACCAATGTTTTTCTACTTTTTCTGCCTCTAGACCACCCACATGGGAAACATCTCCATCATTTACGTCTCTTGTGACACACAATCGCTTTGAGTTAGACTATAGAATGTTGTGGAGGGTTTTTTAAATCAGAATCCAAGGGACTGCATGTAGTTAGCAAAAGCCATTTCTTTCTTTTGAGGAAGATTAGCCCTGAGCTAACATCTGCTGCCAATCCTCCTCTTTTTGCTAAGGAAGACTGGCCCTGAGCTAACATCCGTGCCCATCTTCCTCTACTTTATACGTGGGATGCCTATCACAGAATGGCCTTCTGAGCAGTGCCATGTCCACACCCGGGATCCGAATCGGTGAACCTCGGGCTGCTAAAGCAGAACATGTGCACTAAACTGCTACGCCACTGGGCCGGCCCCCAATAGCCATTTCTGATGGCTCTCCCAGGCCTCTGCCCAGACCACTCCACAGCCTGGATCACCACGCACACCAAGACTTTCTTGAAGACAGGGATTCCCTCTAAATCCCCAACAACAGGCACAGTACCTTGGCCCATAGGATGTTCTTCATAAAAATTTGTTAACATAGATATTGATGGAGGAAGAGAGCAAGAAGATACTAGAGACCTGAATGTTTGGATGAAACAACCAGTAAGAAGGGAAAATGTTAACCACTTCCCAATAGTGTCAAAACCTAGCTTGTGGGGAATAAATAAAAATAAAATAAAATCAAAATAAAATCACATCTAACTCCTATTGAGAATTTATTATGTGCTTGTCACTGTGCTAAGCAGTTTGTATGCATTATCTTATTTAATGCTCACAGCAATCCTGGGAGGTAGGTACTATTATTATTTCAGGTTCAGAGAGTAAGGCAGCTTGCCCACAGTCACACAGCTGAGAAATGGTAGAGCACGGTTTCAAAGCCAAGCAATCTGATTCCAGACCCACACTGCCAAAGCAATCCAAGAACTGAAATGCCAACACTGTGTCAGATCCCCTCCAGGGCTTTCCCTTCGCCTTCCCCACAAGCCCCCCAATTTGGGCATTTCTCCAAATGTTTACGGAAGAACTAAAGCCCTTTCTCACTCCCCTTTTCCAATCTCAACCCCATTTTCAGAATTATGCAATTCCGCCCCCATCCTCTCTGAGGAGCCTCCCTCGCCATCTCTACCTCCAGGTAATCGAAGATCCCGTGAGCTGGTACAACACCAGAGACTAGAAGACTTGTTAAATTAGGAACACTCAGGGAGACCCTCCACCTCTGGGGAATGCTCCTGAGGCCCACTCTATCTCCCACACACAGCCGTCCAAGGACTCCTCCTAGCCTTCTCTGGAGGGCCTCTCTTCAGAGTCCCGCAGCCCAGGGCCCTCTGCTCTCCTTTGACCCACACCAAGCCTCCTTGTTGTCTCTTAGTCCGTCTGTGTCTCCCAGCACTTTCTGTAGTTTTCCATTATGAGTGTTGACTAAAGCCAATGCAAGAGCCTAAGATCAGGGGTCCAAAGATGACCAACCTTTCCAACCCTCAGGAAAGCACTTGGTGGAGGCTGGACTTCCAAGCACCAGGCCTGATTTCCGTGGTGACACCCCTGGGGATTGTTGCCATAGTAATGCTGGAGAGACACTGGCCACAGTGAACATTACCTCCCCTTTTCATTTTCCTTTATGAGACACCCTGAAAGCTAAGAGGAGACCTGCTCCCCCTCTTCAGATATCAAAGGAATCCTGGGCTGCCCCAAACAATACTGACTCAACTCCAATAATCCTGCAGGTCCCAACCTGGCTTTTCCAAATGAGGTACTTGACGGTCCTAGTTTTTTGTCTCCTCAAGAACCCATTAACATTGAGAGACCGAGGGAGGCAGAAGGTAGTGGATACTTGAATGAAGTATACTTGAATGAAGAAGGAAGGGAGAGGGAGAGAGTGTGTGTGTTTGTGTGTGTGCATGTGTGTGTTTCTTCACTGTCATCCCTCCCATGTCTGGTATAGATGCAGCAGACCAGACAGTAGGCACCAAGACACTCTGGCCTCCAAGACCAATGCAGAGGCTCGAGTGGGTTCAGGGGGAAACTCACAGTGGACTCTGAGTGGCACAAAGAGCAAAACAAGGTACACAGCACACAGACAGTGACCCAGACACCTTGTGCTATGACTCAGGCCCTTAACTCTGGCTAAGCCCCATCTCCAAGATTCCTGGGAGAGGGATAAGGCTCACAGAGCTGTCTCTCCAGCTTATTCTCCTACCCTCTGCCAAGCAGAAAAAGCCCATGAACATTAGGGAGTCTGAAGGCCAGAGCTAGCCGCAGTGCCGCAGAGGCAGAGAGGAGAGCCGCCAGAGAAGGGAGCAGGGGCTGGGTTCAGAGATATTATCCTCTCCCACCTTCCCTCTGCCCTCACCTTCCCAGACATCCCGAAGCCGCTTCCTCCATTAATTGCTCAGACAGTTTCTCATACACTGGGCCTCAAAGAGAGCTAGAGGAGGAAAGAGGAAAGGGGGTAGGAGATTTCCTTCCCTTGTTGGGACCCTCAAGGGTCTCTTCAAAATCACTTCTCCTATAGCCCTTATCTTTCCAAATGAGGGATGAATAGCAAGGCCAGGAAGCCAAGCTCCAAGGATGCTGCTGGAGACAAAATGGCCCCCCAGAAGCATTTATCTTAGAGTGAGAGATTGACAGGAAGGGCTAGGGCCAGGGAAGATACAGAGTGAGACAAAGGTACAGCACTACAAATGATCAGGCAAAACAGACAAGGAAGGAGCAGCTGGGGAGCTAAGATAGAATCTGAGCTGGTGGGGGGCCAGGGCCTCTCTTCATCTCTCCTCCCTCCCCACCTTCCTCTGTGTCTCTCCTGTCTAGCGAATTGGACAGATCAACACTACAACTCCTCCTCCCGACATCACCCCATGCCCCATGCCCACCACACCAGGACAGCCCAGAGAGCCAGAAGGAGTCAGTGCAGACTTAGCTGAAAAATCTACAGCCAGGAGGGAAGCCAGGCTTAAAAGTAGGAACCTTTTGTGGATTTGCTTCCCCACAACCACCTCCCTCTTGTTTCTCTGGCTTTATGTCTCAGGGGGACCTCGAGCTCCCGTTCTCAACACTAATGCCTGCTATGCAGAATACTCAGACAGGAGTCCCTCCAGTTGATCCGGGCACGATGTTAGCCTGGCCAGACTGTGAGGCCTAAGGACCCTGAGGCAAAGAGGGACAGGGGCCCTCCCTATGTGGCAGACACACACACGAGGCAAAAGCACCCATCTGAGTTCACAGTGTGGGTGAGAGCTCAGCGTGGTGACAGACTGGGGTCCTTGGGGACAGGACTTCTAAGCAGGTCTCTTCCTAAGGCATGTTTACTCACATCCCGTACTCACTGATGCAGAAGGCCCAGGCTCCCTCCCCTTCTTTCCTTCAACAAGCACAATTTGTGCCAAGCACTGTGGATCAAAGATACGTAAGAAGTGCCCCTGACCTTGAGGACCGCCCTCATATGAGCCTCTCCCTTCTCAGTTTCCTGGCCCAGCACCCCTCAAGCCCTACTGGACTCGACCCCAGATCCTTTCATCCATAGCCTGACAGTCCCTCCAACCTGGGAAAGGAGGAGTGGGTGAGGAATTCCCTTTGGGCCACCCCAGATAAAGGTCCAGAACAGAAATCTGTGCAGGCAGTGTGATATAAAGAAAAAGACATGAGGTTTGGAGTCACAGATTTAGCTTCAGATGCATAAATTAACAGTGTGACCTTGAGAAAGTCATTCAGCTTCTCTGGGCCTCAATGTCCTCATCTGTGAAATGGAAATATACCTACTTCAGAGCGTTGTTTTGAAGATTAAATAATATATGTAGAGTAACAAGCACAGAGTAAATATTAGTTCTCCTTCTTAAGATCTCCTCCAGGGGCAGAGGCTGTCATGATGAGGCAGAGGTGGCTTGTTACTTTTTATTGGATCATCAAGAGAAAGGATGAATAAGCAAGTACTTGTTAGGCTCTCAGGGTTTGGTTATTTTTATTTGTTAGGGGGAGTTGGGGATCTGAAAACCTCCTCCTGCTGTACCGGGAGGAAAAGGCAGATATTTCCTTAGGACCCCAGAGGCTCCCCCCCAAACTGGGTGTGGCCCCAATGTATTTGTTTCTCAGAAAACCCTTCATCAGACCTGTTCCCTCCCCCCACGTCCAGGCTGAACTACTTCAGAGGATGATGGAGGGCTTGGTCTGGGAGCCCATCCTCAGGTATACCTCCGCAGAGACCCTGGACCGCAAACCTCCCATCCAGGCCATCCATCCGCTAGTCTTCCTCCTCCCTTCCCGGGAGGTGGGGGTAGAGATCCGAGCCAATAACAAAGGAAAGATGCGCTTTCTCTAGGGGAGAGGGAAAACCTCGGAAAAACACGGGACTGGCTCTAAGGGGTGGGGACGCTGCAGAGAGCAGCAAAGGGGACTTGGGTCCCCGGATCTCGGGGAAGTAGCCCCCTCCACTCTGCGGAGACTTGGCCGCCGGCCTGGCCAGGCCACACCCAGCCATCCTGATGCAGGGGAGAGGAGGGGCTGCGGCGAAGAGGATGGAATACCGAGGATGAGCGGCGGGGCGGGGGCGCAGAGCGACAGGCAGGGACTAAGGCTCAGCGGAGGGGAAGATTCACCTCCCGCCCCCTCCTCGCAATTCCCTCCCGGGGCGGCACTCACCCCAATAACGACGCTGTCGTCCCCTTGGAAAATGGGGATGAACTTGTCCCCCCGCAGAATCTCTGCCTGGTTCAAGGGCCGAAATCGGCAGAGCACCTTGATGCTACATTCGTTGTTGGTCTCCGCCATGGTGGTCGCCGGCGTGGGGCTTGGTACTTCTTGGGTGGCAGAGATGGTGTGTGCTCCGGAGGAGGGGGCTCAGCTGAGGCCGAGGTGGAGGACAGGCGCTCGGTCTCTGCGGCTGAGAAGGCTCTGGCGGGCGCCCGGGCGAAGGCTGGCGAGGAGGGCCGGGGCGCGCTTCCTCTCTCCTGCGGCACCGGGATGCAGGCGACCTGGCGTCTGGTCCTCTCGCCTCTCTGCCTCTCCGCCCCTCGCGCTGCAGCGCCGCGCTGCGGGCCTGGGCGGGGCCGCGCTGGAGGAGCGGGCGGGGCTTCCCTCGCCGGGGACCAGCGGCGGGCCTCCCCCACCGACTGGTGGCGCTTTTCCTCTCTTCTAGCCTCCTCTCCCCACTCTTAGTCTCGGAGACAGCCCTGCCCTCACCCCTTCCTTACCCAAGTCACTCACTGCATCCCAGCCGCACATTCCTGACGTGTCTGTCCCTCTCTCGGACTCCACCCCCCTGGAACGGACAAGGGGTTTGAGGTGGGCCTGAACTTGTGTAAAGAGTCAACAGCGCTTCCACCAGCCTTATTCCAGGGCATCCGCCACCCCGTCACAGTCGTCTCTCCAAATTGGGAACGCACTTCTCATTCCCTCTCCCCACACCCCTCGCACAGATTCCCAACCCCCTCAACCCAACCCTCAAGGGCAGCTGCCTGTACCCCTGTGGAGGTGGGTGTCCAGGTCCCATTTTTCAGAAGGGAGTGTCAGGGGAGGTCGGGCTATTCCCTTCCCCTTCTGCATCCAAAGGTGCTCTCCATTCTCTCCCCAACATTCACACCAGGTCCCCAGTTTGAAGGAAGACATACTCCCAGCCTGGGTTATCAGAATTCAAAACCTGATAAAATTCTCACTTTTGCCTCACAGCTTGAGACCGGGGTGGAGGTGGGCAAGAGTAACTTTTGCAAGAGAAAGGGAGTTGAAAGCAGTGAAGGAGGGGTGATAATGGGGGTGGGCGAGGCCAGAGGGGCTTTCAGAGAGGACCTCTAGGGCAGACATTAGCATTAGGGTTTTGGGCAGATTTAGGCACCTATGTGAGTGTGTTTCCTGTCCCAGTTGCTACTGGACAGAGTACCAACACCCCGGCCCCTTTCTCAGGCCTTTCTTCTCTATTTCTCCCCCTTCCCTGGCAAAAAAACAAAAAAATCAAGCCTAGAGATTCCTTATCCTTCCTCCCCTCGGGTCAGACTCCTGCTGCAGCCCCTGGGCAGAACCACCTAGAAGCTGGTCGAATTGATTTTTCTCACGTCACAGGCCTCTGCTGGCCAACAGAGAGTTAGACTGCAGGAATTGAGGTCCTGGCCAAGGCGAGGAGTAGGGTGATGGGAGAAGGGAGGAGGGCATGGAGGTTCTGCCTACCTAACAATTCTAAGGTCACTTAGACACTATGGGGAGAGGGTGGGAGAATGATGGTCTGTCCAGACAAGACCTAACCACTCAGAACTCAGCTGAGGGGGTTTCTGGAGTTGGGCCCATACCTCTTAACCCTACCTTGAATCTTAAGGAAACTAAGGGAAAGGGATCCCACATAAGAAACTGGATGGGAAGGCAGTAGGACTATGGAGAAAGAGGGGTAGAGGCTTGGGGAGGAGCCAGGAGAGTATGCATAGAATGACAATGAGTTCCAAACTGAGGAAAATAGGCATCTCTCCAGTCACTTGGTCTGGCACTCTTTCTAAGTGTTGCAGCATCCTGTGAGCTCAGGAAACATCCCAACCTCAGGCCCCTAGGGGCTCCAGGGTGGCATCCTTAGTGAAAGAGTTTCAAAATGCTAGTCCATGGAGGATCACTGATCAGAGACGAAAGTTCATTGTGCATGCACTTTCCACCCCCACCTCCCAAAACACACACACACACACACAATTTGGTAAATTTTCCATAAAGCTGGATTTATTAAGTCTCAAAGGACAGTTTTTTATTCTGACAGTATGTCTTTCTGTACTTCTCCATTAAGTAAGGATGGTAATAGTAGTTAGTTTTCTTTCTTTAACAAACTTACTTGGCAAAATAAAAGCATAGCAATATCATATCTATCTTCAAAAAGGTTTATTGTTGTTGTTTTTATTTTATTGAACTGTGAAATTCAAAAGCCTGAAAACTATTAGTGAAGCTGTTAAGAGCACAGAGGGTGTTCAGACAGACACAGAGCCACCACTTACCTATTTATGAACGTGAGATGGGATTGTCAGATTTGAAAAACAAAAACAGAATACCTAGTTTTTGGATGCCCAATCTGAATTTCAGATTTGAAAAACTAGTAATTTTTTGTGTGTGTTAGAATGTCCCAGATATAGGATGGGACATATTTATATTTAAAAAGCCATTAGTCGTTTATCTGAAATTCCAATTTAACTAGGCGTCCTGTATTTTATTTGACAGCCCTAACTTGAGAAGATTACTTAACTTTTTCATTCCTAACATGACTAAGCCTTTACTAAATTTTACTTGTTATCGTTTTTGAAGCCCTGGCTGTGCCACCGCATGCCTAGTTGTATTATTTTTATGTAATCACTTAATTTCTGGGATTCCAAATTTATTCACTTGGAAAATGGGAATTCTAAAAACTCTTTCACAGACTTGATGTAAAAATGAAAGAAAATAAGTTGTATGGAATAACTCCCAAGGTGCGTTATCGTCCATCCCCGCCCAAGACCCAGTCGGCCAAGACTACATACCCCACAATCCTAGGCGGCGTCCCCCTGCCATTACCTCACTCCCTGGCCTCGTTCTCGCCAATCCCAGCCTCTCCAGGGGTGTGGTAGCGAGCTGGTCTCGCGACTTTTGCTTTACCCTTCTTCTGTGTTACTCCTGTCGCGAGACTTCCTGCTTCTCCGCCTCCTCCGCCGCTCCCTTTGCCGCCGTCTTAGCCCGGGACCCGGACCCAGCCTCTCCCCTTCCCGAACACCGGCCCCGGCTCCACCGAGGCCCCGGTCCCCCAACCCCGCCTCGCCGCCGCCATGGCGGACCCTAAATACGCCGACCTCCCCGGCATTGTGAGTACAGGGCCGGCCCCGGCTCCCCAGGACCGCGCCCCAGACCTCCTCAGGACCCCCAACAGACAGCAACGCGCGACCCCTCCCGCCTGCAGCCCCTGCTCCCCCCGGGGCTGCCGCCGCTTTTCCCCCGACGACCCGCAGCATCTTCTGGACTCCTCCGACCCGCTTGGGCCGGGTCGTGGGACGGCCTACCAGGCCCCTTTTCTGGCAGTTGCCGGTTTCTCGGCCCAGAAATCGTCTCCAGGCGCTCACCACTTGTGCTCGAGTGTTGTGTCAGCATCACCCGTGTCTCCCCAGATCTTCCCATAAGCTCCCCACCCCCACCCCACATACACATACCAGGCCACTTGGTGATGGCCTTCACCCTGCTAAGGAAGAGGTTACCGTGGCAGAACCTTCCTGCCAGATGGAGAACTCTGTCCCCCGGGGAACCTCCGCACCCCTTATCCCGCGCTCGCCCCCGCCCATGCCGCGCATGCCGGCTTGTACCCTCCTTTTGTGCTGCCCTGCCTGCATCCTCGGGGTGGGGGTTGGGGCCACAGGACCTTGGGTACTAAGGTCCTGAGTCACTCTCAGCCCTCGTGCCAGGGTAGTTGTGTACAGGGCCCAACTCGAGGATAGCCCATCTCCTACTTCAGACATAATGATTGCCAACCACTCGCCCCCCGCTTAAGACTCGGGGTAGCATCTTTGTCATCACTTACACTCACCATTTACCATCAGGTCCCAGTTGTGCCCACTATCACCCCCACCCCTCTAAGGCACGGGACCTGATATGCAGTTCACCAGGCAGGTGGAAGAGAGTGGACAGAATCCTGGCGTCACAGCTTGCCTTCTCTGTTAGTTGTTCAAGTGGAGGGGGGTCTGGGGTGTTGGTGGATGCTGGGTAGTGAGGTTGGGTGGTCACTGCTTCTACCTGCAGGCCAGGAACGAGCCAGATGTTTATGAAACCAGCGACTTACCTGAGGATGATCAAGCAGAGTTTGATGCGGTAAGACTATGTGCTGCCTCAGGACTCCTTTGGATTCTGACCTCTTTCCCCCAGGCAGGCTCTTTCCCCTTACTGGCGAACCACAGCAATAAGCGGGTATGCCAAGCCAGCCTGGGTGGTGTGTAGGTTGCAGGACTTGCAAAGGCCTTGCTGGGCTTACAGCCACCGATGAACAATGCCGGGAAGGAGAGTCAGGTCAGTGGAATTACAACTAACAAGACCTGATCCTTAGGCCTTTTAAATAAAACTGAATATCTCAAAACAGTTAGGTTTGGGACTAGTGACTCAGTTAGACCCCTGGGTGCTAGTCTGTGGTAATGAATCATGAAGCCTGAGCACTTATAAACTGTTTGAGGTTAGGACCTAGGCCTTCTATTTCATAAAATATTTCACTCAATACATGTTCATTAGTATCCTACCAAGAGCTAGATTTTGAAATATAAAGTAATACTCTTTTCTATGAATATCCAGTATCCATTGAGCCAGGAGTAAGAAAATGACTTGGAGATTTTAGGAAGATAAGGGAGCTGGTCAGAGCAAAGCAAATTTGAAGAAGAACTTAAACTTTTCATATCGGCGGAGGTGAGGCCCTGGTAGCACTTTCAGATCCAAGAAGAACTCTGAGGAGGAAGGTGTTAGTGTGGACACATTTTAACCATAAGGGGAACCACTTAGCCTTGTTTATTGAATGTGTTCATTTTGTGCTGGTTTTTGTGCAATGCAGGGGAAGAAATGTCCAAGCCCACAAGGATCCCCCAGACTAATGGGGGAGTTAGGACACATGTAGGAAACGTGAAAGAAAAAACAAAATTGAATGAATGGAAATCAACATAGTAAAAACTCTGTGTATGTAAGTGCCAAAGGGGAACAAAGATCTATGAGCATGTCTTACAGGATGTGTTTTAGGTTCTGTTACTTCCAAGAGAACTGGGCTTGAGTCACATTGATGGCGTGAGATCTCAATAAAGTTGTGACCAAGAGTCAGCGGGAACAGGCTCAGTATGTGTGTCTGTAAGTCCTGTGGCTGTGTCTGTGGGGCTGGTTAGTTCTGGGGAATGCTGATGGCTGGCTTATAATGTATGGCTTGGCGTACTCGCTTATTCCTTATTTGATTGCCCCCATGTGGAAGTGTTCCTACTTTGTAAGGAACACCTTCCCTGTCCCCTCTCTCAGTGATGTGTTCCTTGTGGCTCCTATACTTGCTGGCATGTCAGTCTGTCCCCTAAGCTTCAGTACCTGGAGGTAATGCAC